GCGTATATGAAGATCTAGCATGATCTAGGCATTTATTTGACGGTTTGAGTATTTTTATGGCTTTATGAGCAACCTGATCCGATTCTCTCGTTGGGGGGTAGAAGAAAGAGACGGGCAGTCCCCAATAGACGGGCAGTCCCTAATAGACGGGCAGGTCTCGGGGGGTCGAGAAATAGACGGGCATGCCCTCCAATTCCAATTATTAAAATAGTTACGGTATGCGTGAACGATGCAGTTTCCTTGCGGCCGGCTCGGGCTGATACCTGACGACAGAGTCTCCTTCCATCAGTGTGCGACTCTGATGGAGCTCTTATGGGACTGAGATCTGGGCTTCTGGAGCGTGGTTGACACCTCGGTCTGTCAATCCTGTTCTTGGGTTCCCTTGACGAATAAGCGACAGCGGACGCATCCGGTCGGTTTTCAGCAAAATATCCGGTGGGGTATCCGGTAGGATGTCCGGTACGGGCTCGACATCGTTCATTTCCCTCAAAACATTTGATGGAAGGTCCGGTCGAGCTTCTGGTCGTGCCTCCTGTGAATGAATGAATTATTCGTGTCGAGGATTAGCCCCGGAAAGGGAAACCGTCCCGCTTGTCATCGCCCCCGCAGTGAGGGTCCTTTGCTGTGATTGGAGTGGGAAGATAATGTACGGAGACAGAGTCAACACACCATCCATCCCGAAGCAAAAAAAAATTGTCCCTGCGTCCGGGAGTTTCTCACTATCAAAACAATACCACCGATTCCGCGCAGATTGTTTGTCTCGAACATTTGCTGCTCGCAATTGGTTTCCTCGGAGCGAGCTCGTATGTGTTTTATTTCGAGAACCATTCTCAGTCGGATGCGGCCCGACTGGGAAAGACGGAGAACGCAAGAAAACAACAAGGTCCCCGCCTGGCGAAGAGTCTTGATAACTTGATTTCATACTGATGTTGCGCACATTTGTTGTCTGGCATTTATCCGAATGGCCGGCGGACGTCCCTCGCTCGATGTCGTCTCCTGCTCCAGCTTCAGAATGTACTTGGGCTTGGAGCAGACCCGGAGGCAGGCAAGCAGGTAGACAGGCGGGCGGGCGGGCGGGCAGGCTGACCGACTGACTGACTTCCTGTCATATCCAATTACTTTCTCAGGAGGGACCTTTGTGGAAGTACCTACCCCATGAGACGACAGGGATACGCTTCTCCGGCACTCTGCTGTCGTGGAATATGTTAATAACTTGGTCGGTTGGTTCGTTTTTTTGTTCGTTTTCGGAAGAGCCAAATCATTTATCGTCTGTCCAAGAGAACGCCAGAGACTCTCGGAAACTCGTCGCGCACACAAATTGAGTTTTTTTTCAGGAGGACAAAAAATACCCCAGTCGTTCCCGTGCCGTTGCCGTTGTCATGCCGACGATGATCGGAGACAACTCAGGCTGGGAAATCATTTCGATTTCGAGCAGTCCGCTTCTGTGCGACAACCCGATGCTGATGGCCTTCCATTTCTTTCCAGCGCTGATAAACCTGCAGGAGTTAGTCCGTCCCTTCCCGCCGAAAAACGTGGAGTACCAATTCCGGAGGGCGGAAAACTTCACGGCTACTCTATTGGACATCCGAAGCCGCGGCATATATTCGATGATTGTTGATGTCCGACCTGAGAACCTCACTGCCTTTCTTAGAGCTGTAAGTACCCTGCGTTTCGAATGGTCACAACTGGACAGTCTCGGTCCAGCCTCCACCATGACCGTAGCGAATTCACACGACTCGGGATTGCGTCCAGACGTCTCAGGCTTGGCCAGCCAAAGGCACAGGGAAGATTGCGCGAGGAAGATCCAGACAAAATATTTTTAGTGCACGTCTGGGAAGAAAATAGGTCGAGGGGGGAAGGGTCCGCGAAGGTGGAAGAAAGCTCAAGTCCTGGGGCGCTACATGACATGCTAATGTTCCTCTGAAATACATATCTCCACAAACAAGAGCCTTGGGGCGTTTTCCCAGGCGACAGCTACGGATACCGCTCGTTTTCCTCGGTTCCCAGTCTTTGTTGGGTCATGCTCGGATACAATATGTACATGCATTTTCGGACTCGAGAAATGCTTGGACCTGTGGCTCGATCTCCAGACCGAAATCATGCCTTGTAAACGCTGATCAGACTTCCAGCCGTCGACAGCAATTCTGACTCATCGAGTCGAGATGTGAGAATTCGCACGAATTCCTCAATGCGAGTCGAAAGACTGCGTTCCGCGGTCTGGAGCTCGAAGTTCTTTGAGCCGGAAATAACGCTCGAGCCAATGGGTCCTTCGTGATGCGGAGTTCGATCATTAGCTCATTCGTTATGAGTTGAGCAATGAGCGAGGCGACGGGAGTTAGAACCTTCACAATCTCTCCGTCTCCTGATTCCCTGATTATTATGTTCGTGTCTCGACTTGAGCAGTCTTCGATGAAAGCCCTGCGGAGTGGGACGAAGACGACACTGACTGAGATTGTTTACGGAATATCCCCTCGATCAAGAAGATCCTGACAATCTGCAACTGGCGAAGAGCACAGCGGGTCTCTGTTTACTGTCGGAGCGCAATCTGATCATCTACGGCGGTTGGTCGCTTAGGGGTCTGTAGCTCGGTCTATCTTTCGCTTAAGCAGGCCCTCAACTCCCGGAGACCTTTATTAGCTCTCAGGCTCGCATTCGTTGTTTGCACATGTTCGGAGCGATCCCCCGGAAAATGCTGGTGGACGACCGGGCTGCTTGAACTTCCAAAATCGATCAGTTCGGTTGTGAGATAAACGAGGTGCGTTCTCTTTGGGTTCTGCCGCCGCCACGGCTTCCCTCGGTGGGTAGGTATTTTCCGTCCCATGTTTTCTAATCACCGTGGGGGCTCACAGAAGGGGAATAGGAAACAGAAAGAGGAACGGAGCGAGCTTCAGGATGTCACTGTCGAGCCCTGTCGTCCTCTTGGTTTGTTTAATCTGTCTGTCGTTGACGGCGCCGTCCGCGCGCTCCGACAGCAAATCGCAGCGGCAATTCTCTTGAGAAGACACGTGGTCCCCAATACCTACTAGAAGATCGGGTCGTCCGTTCGCCTAGAGCAGGATGGACAGTGGCCGTTCCCATGCGCGCGCAACGCAACAACATCAAAGGGAAACAGGAGTAGACCGACAAAGAGAAGTAGTGTACGGGCGGAGAAACGAACTGCTACTGAAACAGAAAGAGTTTTTCTCCACCGAACTCGCAGACTTCCCTCTGCTCTCCATATGAACCACAAAGAATTCCCCATCGCATTGCTCCTCGTGTTATCTGACGTTTTCGATCTGCCCTTAGAGCAGGCAGAAATCCTCTTCTCGAATTTCCACCCGGATACGAACTCATATATCCGAAAGTTTCGTCAAATGAAGAAAGAAAATCCTGGGAGACTGGAGTGAACATGACGATGGGGGAAGGCAGCATCTGGCTCGAAGCTAATATGCTTCGTTTATTTCGTTCCAGATTCTTCAAATACAATTGAATGACTATAAATACCATTATCATTTTGCCACTTACGTAAGTACATAATCGAGTCTTCATTTTAAAAAATCTAGAGTCTCACGCATGAGGAGAGAAATGTCTTCCGTTCTCAAAATCTGTTGTGATGGCGATATGGGCGGCGGGGTTTTCTCCCCGGCGCCGAGTGTGGCTTCCGAGGCCACTGCGGTCGCACACTGGGATACTTTTGTGATTTCGCCAGAGCAGAATTTTCCATGGAGCTATGAGGGGCCTTAACCGAAGAAAGTTTGACGGTAGCTTGTCGGAAGCCCGGAGAACACCAAGATTGAGTGCCCTACATTCTTCACGATGGAAACAGAGGCCGATCAACTTCCGGAAAATTAAGAACCGACTCATTTGTTGTTTTCTCTTCGGCGTCCGCCGGATCGCTCCAAACTTCTTCGCTCTTCCGACATCCGAGAGATCAAGGGTTTTCTCGAGCTTCCGTAGGATGATGTGCATAATTTTTGAATCCGTTGATGATGCGCGTGGCATCAGAGCTAACTTTCTCGGCGAAAATCACGATAGCGTTCCCGGAAATTCAGATGACATCAGGTCCTCGGGAGCGAAGCCTGGCACATCGATGATGGAATGAGTTACTCGGGATGCGGGTGCCTTCAGAAAAGGCAACGAGTCTGGTGAGATTCAATAGGAATGCGGCGGAGCCCGCGTGGGAGCCACATCATTCAGGAGCGCGCAACGTATTTCGCAAGCAATAGGCTCAGTTGGCGAGTTGTTCATCATCTCGAGGCCCATTCCATCAGGATAAGAGCTGGGGGAAGCGCCTTTGAGCGCGACCGAAACTCCAGATCCTGCTGACTCCCGTCATTAGGGCGTTCTTCGGGCGCTTCTAATGTTCCGCGCGTGGGGATGCTTCTGATGGAGAATCCCGAAACGTGAATCAATAGAAGAACAAGTCGTGTATGACTACTTTGAGGAGCGGAATCGTTCATAGCCAACTCCGATGACTGCTCTGGACTGCTGGAGCATCAAGCTCAATCAGCCTCCGTGGAGCAGGAGCTATCGACGAGTTTCTCCCATCGAGATCTCTGATGTCACGTGTCTGTTACTGCCGACGCATTCACCTACACGAAATTCCGGCTCGTGGAACGTCAGGCAGAGGAAGTGACTCTCGCTCGCTCGGGGAAAACTCCGTTGAGCGAGCGAGCGAGCGGTGGCAGGCACGGGAGAGATACAAAAAAATAATAGCCAAAATGTAGCGATAGTAGCCGCGAGTCGTTTACCCAAGCGCGCATCGAATAGAGGCTTGGGGCTTTGAAAATGCTAATTACTACGCGCGGCGGATGCACTCCGGCAACGGGGACTCCAAGCCCCCTTTCAAGAAGTTCCTTCGCTTGCAGGACATCGAAGCATTCAACCTAGAAGACTTTCAATACAACTTTGTAAATATCACGGCCTTCCGCATGGTAGATTCAGATAACGAGACGGTTCGAGCCATATTAAACGACATGGAGAAATTCACCCCATATGGACAGAATATTCTCAATAAAACCAATGTTATAACGGTGAGTTCGGGAGTCGGTGGGGCACAGGACGATTCATTAGCTCGGGTATAGTCGGAAATCATTCATACTGTTCCGGGGAACGTAGAGCATTCCTAGAAAGATGTGGCGATAGATTTATCCGGGCGAAGGCATTGATTTAATCGAGTATAGTCTGAGGATCTCGATTTCCTCGTGCATAGAATAAGGAGGAAACACTCGATCAGTAGAGTATTTTTTACGTCCTTCTCGTGCGTCGGATCCGCAAACTCCCGTAGGACTCCTAAGGACTCGACGGTCTTCAAAGAAGAGAGTCTGCATGAAAGTACTGAGGTCGTGCTGGTTGGGGTTCATGAAGCGTGACGGGATGCCCCGCCGCGAAGTTTGAATTCAGGCGTTCGGCCAAGAAGGAAACCACTTTGAGTTCCTCCGAACGCTAATCGATAGAAGGGAGGAAAAAAATCACTTTGCTCCCCGGCCGCCTATCGGCCGCTCGCTCCCGTCGTTCCCCGTTCATGTGCATGTGAGCTCCAATTTTACTGAGATCTCGCGTAAGGTGAAAATGATAGCGGTGGAGAACAATGGATGGATTTCCGATCGAATGAGCCAAGGAATTTCGATCATCGATGTAAACAAGTTCAGAGCTTCCGCTCCTTGCAAGGACGATGTCTTCGATTAATCTCTCTACCCCGCTCCACAGACGGAGGCAGCGCTTACGTTTGATGCTGTGTACGCTTTCGCCCACGGGATGAATGATTTGAGTAGGGCGACACAGCTTCGGCCAAGTAATGTTTCATGTGAAGAAGGACTCTCGTGGTCCGAAGGCACATCGCTTTTCAACCTCATATCCATGGTTGACTACCATGGGCTCACCGGTAAGTTCATTGGTATTTTTCCTCTTGGCATGATGAATTCTCGAAATTTTGAGATTCTTCCCTCCCGCGCATCGGCCAGCTGCCAACTGCGCGGCTCTTCATCTGCGGGAAACTGCGAGAAGACTCCTGATCTCCCCAGATTCAGAGCACCTATAATAGGCGCTCTGTCCCGCTTTAGCTGAAAGTTGAAATTAGGAACGCTCCTCTTTTGTTTACCGGTTCAGGTATGGGTCACCGATTGCTCCCGAACCTAAGACTTAGGGCGGGAGCGGAGCGACGTACAAGTTCCCCTGTGTTTCCTCCCTCGACTCACGGACGGATGAATGATCTCGTTTTCTACAACTGTTCCCCTCCTTTGGAACCTTCCACTATTAACGTGTACTGGTTGAGCGGAGTGCTGCTTCGTTCATCTTATCCGCCTGTCTCTGCTGATGGTAGAAGACCGACGACGCCGCTCACAGGAGGCACAGGCTCATTCGGCTGAAAAATGGAAAACATAGAGGACCACAGCCTGAACCCGGCGAGCAATGTCTCTGTCCGGGCCCCTGAAATTCCAGCGTCATCGACGAGAGGAATGGTCGCAGTGGACAATGTTCGGAAGTTGGAGATATGCAAATGATACGGAGAAAAGTCTCGATGGATGGAAGCCGGCCTTCCCAGTGGTACTCCGAGAGATTGAGAAGCGCTGGGAATACTTGACCAGGAGCCGATCATAATACTGAGACCCACCGTGATGTTTTCGTCGTTATTACAGGTAAAATAAGATTCAACGAAGGCAATAGGACGAGTTTAAAGCTAGATTTGCTAAAGCTGCGCCAGGATCGCCTGGTGAAAGTTGGGGAGTGGACCTCACACAAGCGACTCAATATTATCAACCACGGAGCCTTCCACGACTTCGGAACCACGAATATCACATTACGAGTTACCACTATCGAGGTGAGCTTGCGATATACATACGCGAGTAGATGAGTACGGTGCCGCCGAGTGATGCTCCCACGCCCCTCATCCGCCCACCTGTCTCCTTGCTGGCCATCCATCGTTCCTACGATGTTTTCGATGTTAGCTGAAGCGTTAGTGAGTTTAACGGCGGAGCCTCCAGCGATTCATAGGTTTGCGAGAGGCGGGGAACAGGCTTATCTCCGATGCCTCAACTAATAAATATATCAAGCGTCACTATCTTTGGCGTCTTATACGGCCGGGGTCCGCTCCTGAGCTCCGCTTGCCTGCTCCAGGAGCTCATCTGGAGCTCGCATCTCGGAGCACTCGCTATGGGGAATCTTGATCTTCTTGCTCTTTCTCCGTGTCGCCGAGATTTCCTCCCGGAGCCACGGGATGAACGCCTCGCAGATCCCGGTGCTGGGCAGTACGAGGGTTTTTGTCTTCGATTGATGTAAGCCTGAACGGGCCGAATTCTCTATTGCAGTCAGTGCCATTCATGATGCCGAAGAAACAAAAAGCTGCAGGAGGCCATCAATTGGACACAAGCAGTGATAAGGGGAAAGATCCGGGCATAACGGGAGGCTTCAACCGCACGGGAAACATTCATGAGGACTACGAAGGCTACATCATGGACCTGCTGAACAAACTAGCCGAAAAGCTCGGCTTCCACTACGATCTCTATTTAGTGCCTGACAATAAATTTGGAGTCGAGAACACCACGACTCTCGAGTGGAACGGCATGGTCAGAGAGATCATAGAAAAGGTGAGCTCCAGAGGAAAAACGAATAGGTTGATACGCTACCCCGTGCGGGTGCGGAAATCGCATGTCGACAACATTTCTCGCGGCCGGACGGAATCCGCCGGCTCCAAGTCTCTACGCTCGGATGACTCCGGAAATCCGAGAGCTCGCACGATCCTTCGCAGGGTCGAATGAACTATGTACTATATTTTTTGAGGCAGGGTCGAATAGTTCGATCGGGGTACGTAGCTTCAAAACCATCAGCTCGATGGTGGGTACCTATTCGACGTCGTGGCGGCAAAGCCTTATCCGCATCGGAGCTCCCGCCGCGCGTCGGTCACAGAATAGTCCCGAAATGGAATGCAATCATTCCAAGTTGGCAAGCTTGCTGAATTGCTACTTGCTACTCGCGAATCGTGCGGAGATAGAACGTCCCGAGTCGGCTCGAGTCTAGTCAGGAGTCCACAAATGTCGAGGTGTAGAGGAGTCGTGTCGAGTGAAGAGAATTTCCGAAGTTGGCGTCGTCGTCAGGCCCTCGTTCGACGTAGAGGGCTTTGTCTGTCCGCGTTCCGGAATCCAGAATGGATTCAATGGCACGGAATTAAGGTGGCGTGGAATCTGACTGGCTGGAAGGGTGCGTTCTCCCCAAGCACTTCCTCTACTCCCAACGATTCCTTTTCCTCTCCCGGCTTTCTCACCCCAAGATCTCGAGGATTTGGTTCCAACAAGCGGTCATCATGTGGAGGTCATTCAACAAGAAGCCTCTACGAATCCGGATGCCCTGTTTTTGGTCCCATATATATACACTGGGTGAATTCTCTTGGAAGAGAAGCTCTTCTAGGAACACGGCGTCCGCTAGGATCGATGAATGATCTCGACGAAATCCACACTATTCAAGTTAACATCTCTCGGCGGCTCCTCCGAGGAGCGGTGTTCCGAAGTATCCCAGCGTGATCGTATCCTCAATATTGGCCGTAGTCTGCTAAGAATGAGGAGCTTTCGAATTCATTTGCTTTTCGAATCGCTCAATTTCTCTCCTTCTCGGGCGTCTTTGTGCCCCAAACCTCAATTTCTTCTCACTCTCAAGGAGCCCGTCATCGACGTTCGACTACCGAGCGTCCGTCCGATTCCTTCTTGGCGCACGTGGCACGCTTGACGTAGGTTCTTAGCGCCGCTAGGCTAAGTGGGATGTTCTTGGTGGGTGATATATATCTTCAGGTCAACCTCCGGGATACGTTTGACACCGATTCGTGAGCTCTGTTTCCAAGGCACGCCGCTGCCCGCTGCCACCCTACGGCACGTGTCATCTTTGAAAATTAATCCGAAATCTAGTCCCAGAACTATGTAGACATCGCTATCCCCGCGGGATGAAACAAGGGCCACTATCCACGATCTTATCAATTGATATCTCGTTGATTGCGGACATTACTGTGCTTTTCAGTCGGAAATGAGCCCTCCTCCTTGCAGCATGAAATTCCTCCCTCGAGCCTACGCGCGAGGAGAGGCACCATTTCATTGAGGGATTCGTCTCCTCGGAGAGTTTTTTTTCGAGCTTGCATCCGAATATTTCTGATTGGTGTCGACGATGCGCAAACAAGCTCATTGAGCTCATAGATCAAGCTCCAATTTCGACGTCATACTCGACCTCCTCCCTTAGAGTTGGAACTTCCGGCATCCGTGTCCGTCGGCCGGTGAGTCCGTGCCGTAATTTCAGATTAAGATGAGCTCCCTTGTAGGCCGTCAGCGTCCTCATCTCAAGGAAACGCTCCGCGCGTCGTAGTTACCCACCTCTGTGGTCTAGCAAGCGTACCCGTGTTTAGCACCCCCTCGTCCCTCCACCGGGCATTGTTGAGGTGCTCTGCCGTTGTGAGTTGATGTGACTCGTTTCAACCGAGTTTTTATCTCGGGAGCTGGAGAGAACTGCGCGGATGAATTTTGAATATGAGACGCGGCATTTGCCGCTTAACCTCGAGCGCGTATAGCGGCTCACTCGCTCACGGCGCTCGGTAGTCCTTCGGAGAGAATTTGCATCTAAGGCACAAGCGTGAAACCTCGCCTAAACGATGTTTGATTCACATGTCGCGAGCAGATAACATTGAGGGGACCGCGACTCCATCTTGAATAGTCCGGTACTCGCCCTAGCCCCATCCGAACCGGTCATTCGAAACCCAGGAAGGTCGTTCCGCCATTGTCGGGAAAGTGAGATCAGATTTTTGGAAAATATACCACTGGGGAGTTCTGGATTCATCCAAAACTTTGACACCGAACAGCCTGAATGCTCAAGTAGGTGTTCCATCTCATTCCCGCATCGCTTCCATCAAAGCGTCAGAGGACAGCCCAAGGAGGGTCTTGGGTTACGCGAGAAGATTTCGAAAGATGGGGATGGTTCCGGTTCGGGAGCGAACTGGAGAAAGAGTCGTCATGAGGGACGGAGACTTCCCCCTCGTTCTGAGCTGAGCGGGAAAACCGATGAATCGGAAGCTGGGAAACCCGAAAGTGCATTAGACGACAATTGCTACTCTTGCACGCGCACCTCAGAACGGTCGCTTGCTGCGAGAACCGTACTGAGAATCCGTTTGCTGCGTGGAGCACACTGAAATCCCCTGGGTATAACCGGGGCGGACCCTGGATCTTCTGCAGGGAGAAGAAGGGGTTGGGGTAAGTTTTTCCCCGTTAGCCCCCTTATGTTGCCCCCTTCCTGGATTCGCCACTGGGTATGACGGGGAATTATCGCACTGAACTGACCCTCGGTCACTTGGCCTATACCTCATACTGCTCGTCCGATGACTTCGGCTCGGGTCTCGACGGAATGAGGCTTTCGGTTTATTGGGATGATAGATGACATTGGAAGCTCGAAGCAAATTGAGGAAACGCCGTCGGCTGTTCATTCCTTCATTGTCGGTCGGACGGTGAACGACCACGCATCCGCAGCAAAGGCATCCAGCCCGACTGCAAGCCAATCGAACAAGGATAGCGTTGTTTTTGGCACGATTAGGCGCAGCAGAAGCGGCTGTCGGAGCGCTGTGTACTCGACGCAGTATATCCTGCAGCGACGTTTGCAGGAGGCAAGGCGGATGCCGCCGATGCTGTCGCCGCGTATGTTCCAGTCGGTGGCCGCCATCGCTGTCGCCGGTTCGTTGGCGCTTGTCGATACCTGTATCAATCGTGCTGTAGTATCGCTTCGCTCATTTCTACCGAATACATTAACATTATGATTTATTAAGGCGCCTTCCGGCCGACGGCAGCTCTTGCTTAGGCTCCTGTCGCTGTCTCATAAGTGCTTCGTTTCCTCTCCTCCTGCCAGGGCGCAGAGGACGACTCTTCACCTTAGCGGCGACCGACGGCGCGGCGGCTGCGGCGGCAACGGCGTCCTGACGTCCTGAGCAGCGTTGCCTTAACGGCCGCCTCAGGTCATCATGCGCAGACTACTTGAAAAGATTTTCCTCTCTTTCTGTGCTCCACTTTCTTTTTTGTTGCTACGGCTCGCGAGGTGTCCACTGGTGTTGACCACCATGGAAGAGAATGGAGTCGACGGTCGTGAACCACGAGAGGCCCACCATGACGTGTCAAGCCGAGAAGAGCCGCCCCATCAACCGACCGCGTCTCTGGGAAGACACATCTTGCTCCTGACGACGTAGCGACTGCTTCCTACAGATGACGGTCTCTTAGTCTACGGTCGAGCGAAGAGGGAAAATGGAGAGAGCGGGGGAGCGGATAGAAGGAAAAAAGCTCCTCGCTCTGTGTGCTTTATCGCACTCCTCTGCGAGGGAAGAACGCTCTGAGAGACTGAGGGATCCGCGGTGCTTTTCCGTCAGATGCAGAGCTTGCTCGCGGGGAACGATACGGGTCGATGATGAAATGACTCGTGTGGATTTCTTGTCGGAACCGCCAAGGAGATCCGAGGGGCTTGTCAGCGTAGCAAGTCTTCGCGTGAGTGGTAATAATTAGACACATCGCGGTCATCATGGGAGTCAAGATTCGCTGCGAGTCACTTGCGGAGAATCCGAATCGAAACGAATGCCCGCTCCGATCTTGCCAACACGCTGAGAGGAGAATATCACTCCACGTAGAATGGACAAGCTCTCCCGGCCGATGAAGAAGGCGTGTTTTTTTTCCTGCCTTCGCGAGCCGCCACCACATCAGTTGCACACGAAGGCTTAACTGTTTGACGCCGTCACGCCCGCCGTTCGTGCCGTTGCTCCTTTTTTGTCGACGCTGTTCTCAGGATTCTCTCGTTCGGCTCGGCCTAGAGTCGGTGATTGACTACCTGCCTGTCCGTCTTGGTGTTCTTCCTCGCTCCCCGCGTCGCTCAGTGAGTTTTTCGCTCGCATGCTCGTCGTTCTTTGTTTGATCGGTCGGTCGGTCAGCCTTCGACTCTGTCTATGGGTCTGTAGGTTTCCCGTTGCTACGTCCGACTCCCGTAGAAAGGATTAAGATGGCGTGTTGTATCGCCCGAAGTTGTGATTAAGATTCTCTGCACGATCCGAGCTGCGAAAACTGACTGACTGACTGACAGACTCGCTAAGCGGAGTTTTTTTCTGCGAGGAGCCTGCGATCAAGCGACTTCACCGAGAAACAAACGTACACGACCACAAGGGGACGGGGGCGAGTGGAGAGGAGGAGGGAATCGAGGATGTAATACGCTCGCTGTCTCGCCAGCCGCTGCTCCTGTCTTCAGATGGACAGAAAAAGATTAATTAGCTTGTTCACAAACGGAAGGCGAGTCGGTCAGTCGTTGGGCTCGAGGAGAAGCCGACAGGAGTGGGCGTTCGGGAGAAACGGGACCTTGGGATACAGAAATCCGCTTCGACCGTCCGCTTGGTCGATTCCCTTGATGTCCGGGCCTCCGACCTGCTCAGAAGACGCGAGGGGCAGTTGATTTATCGAGATGTATTTCCCTTCACATTTTCCTTACAAAGCGGAGACCTCCCACAACACCTACTTCTCTATCTTCGTGGATTGTCAATTTCCTGACGCTGATGACATTTGACGTCGCGGGCGAGAGTGACGCAGGGTCTCGGGTGCAAGACTACAGAACGGTCAGATCACGTGAATGTTCTGTCGATCACCTGACCGGGAAGTCTTCTGGGATCGTTCAGACTGACACATCGAATAATATAATCGAAAAGGATTTCCCGAGTGTCCGTGGAAACTTTTCCCTGGGAACAAAACCGCGGAGCATACCCTCTCCTACCCCATCGCTCCCCGGCCCCTTCTCACCGACGGTGTAAACCGAGGACACGGCGATTCCGAGCTGAGGCGGCGGTCGATGCCGGCGCGGCGGTCGCGCGGCCGAGTAGGGACTCAAGAGCCATCACGTTCCGGTCGCGGGAGTCCGTTCACGTGAGAATGTCATCCTTGCCTTTCATGTGTATTGGGCAACGCTCGGAAGCGGAAGAATGCGACGCATAGCATTGAATAAATTATGGAAGCTGTCGTCGGGTTCCTGTCATCGTTTTTGGTGTGTTCCGCTGTAATCGAGTGTGCCTGTCTCCCGGAGAAACAAGACCCGCTCTCCCTAGCGTCCGAGGGTGAAACTCGGGCGTTCATGATTTTCTCTTCGAGGGCAGGGAGGTTCCTTCCGCTTTGCGGGGTTGACGAGCGCTCCTGTAGGACTGCTGCTCTCATTCCGAGTCTTCACGGGTTCTTTAATTCTCTTTGCCGGATACCGCAAAGACTGGTCTTCGGAACAGGTAGGGACTAGGGACAGAATGAGCCGAGTCCCCGGGACTCACATTGACGGCACGGCGGAGGAGTTCGGAATCTCCGTAACATCGACTCCGGTGGGAGAATCCGAGCCCCGGTTTCCGTCTGAATCTCTTCCTCCCTCATTTGCCCTTCGATCTCGCCTCCTTCCGAGAAGCTATTTCTTCCAGGCAGCGGAGAATACACTGTTAGAATAATGGTGACTGGCTCGACGCGAGGGAACACGCGAAGGTGAAAGTGAATTCTGATGAAGACTAAGTTGAGCGCTTTAACAATGACTCTGTGATAGCAGCCCATCCATTGCCGTTTTCCTGCTCCGTCCCCCCCCCCTTCTCCCCCGGCCGGGATATCCCCCGAACCGCGTTACCCCGACGCGGAAAGTTTCTACACGTGTACTCCGCCGAGGCAAAACAGGAACTCGCAGGAACATTGTACCTATATGAGCTCATACAAGGCAGGGTGCTGAAGGAAACGATCCGCTCTGGACGAGACAGGACGGATGAAAAGAAATTATCATTCTGGGGAATTCCTCTTTGATCGTGGAGCAGTTCCGTCCTTCACTCAATCATAATCTTCGGTAACGACCGAGCCCATTGCGGTTGCGACGGTCTGGGGTCGCTGCGTGACTCCGTGTCGGACCTGTCATCGTGTCGACGGTGAATGAGCGGCCGCTTGACTGGCTGCATGCCTGGGTTTTATGACGGCCGGCGGGCGGTGGTGACGACGACGACGATCCTCGCCGATAAGCCCAAGGGCGAACGACGGAGATAACTGACTGGGATCAATAGCTGCTTGCTGTAGGTGTGTAGGTCTTTGACGACCCTGTGAGATGAGCGGTACTTGAGATTCGCACCTAATTCTCCGACCGTTTCCGGACACCGACCCGGAGACTATTCGGCATACGACAATCAGGCATCATGCGTGGACGTCCGAGTGCCGGATTCAGCTCCTCAGCTGTCTGAGGAATTTCCTGGGAATTTATCAACTGATTCAAGCGAACGCTCATCCTTAACCCTATCCCTCTACCATGTGAGGATTGTGGGCGGAATAGTCCCGGACTCGCCCCGAGGAAAAAATCAGAGATCCATTTTTTCCGATGAAACGATCTCTAGACTCGGAAACTGTTGAGGGATCTCTCGCATGGACGCAGGATGAGATCATGCGATAAAAACCACGAAATCAGCAAGTCACTAACCGTAGCGATCCAGGCTCCGGAAGGAAAAATGTTGCGAGGATGGGTAGATACATTCACTCCAGATCATTACGAGGAGAACCTTGGGTGGGAGGACGGATTTGTCGCGATCCCGGAGCTCCCGCGCAAAAGAACCAAATGGACGGCCATCGAATCGCGAAACGTTTCTCGCACGGAAGGTACGGATCGTAAAAGCTTCTTATTGGACGAAATCAGTTTTTCCCCGTCTGTTCGCTGGCCGTCCAGCTGGCGAGTGAACCAGCGAGCTTTACTTCGTTCCTCGATGATTTGAAACACACCGGTATAAATCCCCGATTTCGGACTTCGATCCAAGGCAGAATTATCAGGCCCCTGCGTGTTTGTTCCCGCTTGGTACTCGTGTTCCAGAACTTGCTCCTGCCTTCCAGCACGCCCCGAGAGACCGACTAAGCAGCCGAAGAGAATGCTAAGAGCGAAAAAAATCCAACACAGTCAAGATTCAAAGTCGCAATCGTTCCGGTCGTGAGTCCCTCGGATGATTCTCGCTTATCTCTAGTCCTTGACCCGAACAGGTTCGGGTACGACTGCTTGTGTTACTTCCGCTCTTGGAGATCCCTTTTGGCGTTCTTCCGTTTCTCATTTTTTCTCCTACGCTTCTCCCTTGAGTTCCCTATAGCAGCGCCTTTGTATGCGTCTCCCTCGTAAAACCTACTCTGACCCGAGCTGTCTACCTCTGTCGATCATTCGTGTTCGGGAGAGACGACTTTATCCTCGGGAGTAGGTTTTGTTTCCCAGCTTAGACGCCGTCAGACCTGACTCCAGGGTGTTGGATGTCGGGGAGGCGAATCGGATTCCTGCTACGAGGCGATGCAGCCCGAGGAAAGAGAATGGATGTCGGCCGCTTTTAGGCTTCTGTAAATCATATGATGTGGGATTTGACTTTTAGATCGACAGACTTTCATATTCGACTTCAGTTATCTCAATTCGTCGTACGCTCGCTGTATAATTCATCACTTTTATCAGTCATCAGCGTTTATCAGCAATGGCCAATTGCACGACGCGACGGTCGCAGAAGCGAGGACATGGTGCGCGGTTATCGTCCGGGTTCCGACTTCCATCTGAGGGTATTTCTCCGCCCAGGTTCGACTCGCCGATTCTCGGACTCCGCTCGGAATCGAGCTCTCCAGATTAGGAATATTCCTTATGCGCTCCTCTTGGACCGATTCGACAACATTGTGCTTCACGAAGCCCTCGCCGACCTCTACCTCCGTGCGAAAAGCGTCGTACTCCACGGAGGAGAACGGCTGCGCCCCGGCGTCGATGCCACATATGTCCACCACCCGGCCGTACGTACGTGCGTAGTCAATGTTCTGTTAGCTGTCGAGTGGACACACCGTAACCCATACGACTCCGCTGTCCGACTGTCTGCGCGCTGTTCCGCGCGTACGTCGTCAAACGTACGACCGGGATAAAAATATACAATAATTCACAAAGACACATTTCCGCACGGAAGAAGGAGCAGGAGCACCAGACGACAACGGAAGTGGCCGGTCGGTTTGTCACGACTCTTAGTCGGTCGGTCGAAGGAGAAGTCATAGTGTCCCGTGCAGTCGTCGCATACGGCATCGAGTGGAAGCAGGGGGAGGTTTAACGTGCGGAGAGAGCACTATAGCATCGTGGATAGATAGACAGATAAATATAAGTCCCGGCGCGGAGGGTACGAGTGAAGCAGCCGTCGCTGGACAAGTCAACCAGATGCAGTACATCCACTTAGGTGAACTGCATCGCAAAGCTAATTTCATGACGGAAACGTCGAAGACGCCGCAGTTTCTGCTGTTGCTGGCAGAAAGCAGTTTCCCGGCCGTCTAGCATTGATAATATTGTTGCTCGACTTGGAATCTTTGCCTCGGCTTTTTTCCCCGCTGATGACATTTCCCCTGGGTGGGACACTGCTCTCTTTCTAGCTTTCACTTTCCGTCGGAGCGTTTCCTCCTTCTGCCACTCAAGCTCCTCCCTCAAGGGTACATCAGGATCGAGCAATTTCCGTCCAGGACTCGTTTTTCTTACTCCACGAGAGTCCTTCCATTCTTCTGCTCGATGCAGAAGTTTGCCGTCGAACCGGGCGACGAAGCGGCCGGCCGAGCGAGCGACCGTCCAACTAACGCGCTAAGTGTTGAGGATTCCTGCAGGAGCCGTCGTCTCTGCTCATCTGGTCAATAGGAAGTCTCTGAAAAGATTTTGCACAGAAATCGCTTATGGTCAGCGGCGAGTCTTTTCTCTCCCAGGGAAAAATATGACTCAACAAAAACCACTGTCTCTATAGGTCGCAAGCCAGTTTCCACCATATGACGGTGCTGCTGCGCGCTGATTTACGGCCACTTGGGTTTTCGTTGTCGTCGTCGTCTGGCCCACCCGAGCCCATTAAATGAAGTAGTGGTGGCGATTACCACCAACCTCGGATCTCCTGATGGGAATCGGAGCCAAATAGAATATTTTCATCCCCAATGACCAGACTGTCTAATGTGGGCTTGTTTCTTTATTGCAGAATGCAGATCTTGCTGTCGCTCCCATGACGATCAACTTCGCGCGTGAAAGTGTCATCGATTTCACCAAACCGTTCATGAATCTGGGGATCCAGATCCTATTCAAGCTGCCCAGCGGGATGCCGGTGAGGCTGTTTTCCTTCATGAGCCCTCTAGATACATACATTTGGATGTATGTTCTCTGCGCGTACGTTCTCGTCTCGTGCACCATGTTCCTGGTTGCCCGTTTCTCCCCTTACGAGTGGAAGGACCCACACCCCTGTGTTAAGGAGTCCGGTCTCATGGAGAACCAATTCAGCCTCGGTAAGTTCCGTCCGAATGTTCACAGCTCGACCTATAGACAGTGTTTCCAACAACTCTATAGTAGCGCCCCAAGGCCCCCGTCGGGGCTCAGACTCCCGACGATTGTTCCAGGACAATCCAGTCACTTCCGCAGCTCGTCGTCCGAATTGAAAATCCGAGGAAATTACAAGAGTCACCTAGAATGGAGAGAGAGTCGTGGAAACAGTGACTGGGAAAGATTTGGTGTCGGGGAAAAACGAGCGCTCGATCCGTGCTGGAAGGGAAAGACTCGCTGAAGCGAGCAGGATCGAAACCACGGAATCGACGTATGATCAGTCGACACCAGCAATCACTGAAATACGTTCATGCAATATGCAACAGTTCACGTTGCGTCTGCCGTCGAACCGGAGCGCGCGAATAGCGGAAGTTTTTGCTGCCGACTGTCTGATCATTTATTGATGTTGCATCTCAACTCTATTCGACACATCGCGGACTGGTCCGCTTCGATGGACAGGGATTGTGGAGCATTCCGCTCCGTCCGCGGTCGATCAAGATATCTCTAGTCTTCGATGCTGGAAGTCGAGATTCCGACGGAAATTTCCGTGCCGTGCATGCGTGACGCTTTGGCTGATACTGATTGAGCAGCGGCTGAGCGCCCGCGGGGCTCGATGATCTGCTGCCGAACAACATTGACATGCAGAATGACGACCGTCCCCTCAATTCAAGTACTTCCCTCGACCGGATCGCTGCGCGAGAGGAGCCGGGATGGGCAGCTCAATGGCAAGAGATTGAAAAGCTTTCGCTGGCGGTCAACCGATTTGACTTTCTCAGTCGCCCGGTCCGGTCGTCTGTCTGTCTGCCGTTCGGTCGGTTGCTTCGTTGCTTGACAGTTCGGTCAGCCACGTTACTTATACACTTGAGCGGAATAATAGAAAAGGAACAACGCTCGCCCATGGGGACGAGGTCCACGGCTTCGTGCGTTGCCCAGAACGTAAGAATCCGTCGAGGAGCAAAGAGCTTTTTTCAAGAGGACGGACAACCAAAGGCTTTGATCTCACGCCTCACTAGGACCGCGGCGAGTTACTGCGTGGAGCACGCAGCCAAACAGCCGGATGAACGGATCGCACCCCTTTTCACGGATCGCACCCCAAAGGGGCGCACCCCTCTTCTTCCCTTTCATTTTCCTTCGGTCTTCATTCCTCTCTCGGCATCGGACCCATCTGCGAGTGCGGCGACGGAGGACGTCGGCTCCTGGGAGGGATCTTCCCGTCGGCGACAAAACAACAAGGTCACCGAGCGAGTCCAGCCACGTTCACGCGTTAATCTTGGTCTTCTGGAGGATATATCTGGACACATTTCTTCCGGAGGATATATCACTGCGACGAGGGAACCAGCCGGAGGGAGAGCTTCTGCCACACAGAGACGGCGACGCAACAAGAGCCGGAGACCTGCAAACGTCTGCAACGTGGCGGACAACGAGAGAATCCCAAATGGCCGGTGAATTATTCCGGGGAATACGATACTACATACCTGCGAAGAGCGGCCTCGTACCATTGTGGGAGCTTACTTATCTTCACGGGTCGTCTGATCGTGAGCCACTTCACGTATCGCTCCGTCAAAAAGCCATAATCTGCACAAACATCTGTTCCCGGGGAGAAATTCGAGAAGTCGCCCGCTATTCCCGCGAAAACATTGAGAGGGCCCTTCTGAAGATGGGAAACTCGGAAGTGTGATCGGGATCCGACAACGCGGTCGTTGTCGAATCGTTAGAGACTGTGAATGTGAGCTCGGGCTGGAGCACGTCTGACTCGCGACCGGCTTCAAGTGAAGGGCCCTCGAGATGCTTGTCTGGCCTTCACTTCACCGATGAAGGCTCTCCGGTAGGAGAGAGTCTCGCTCCCGAAGGCCAAGCACAACAGCGGGGTCAAACACAAGGGCACGAGCGGTGTCAGCAACGATCGTCTCACGTGTCGCCTCGCTCTCCCATCTAAACGTTTTCTCTTGTCGCGCTCAGACGGCTTCTAGCGATTGCGTCGCGGTCGAGGATTCCGTCGCGCGAGCGTAGGCAATCGCTCAACGCGCTCTTTCCCGTTATGTGCAAAACGTCCCGAGACATCGTCGGTCACCGGAACATTCCGAAGAAATGACCAGGCTGACACCGGCAGGAGGGCGCAGCTCGTGACTCGGAAATCGTCAGGAGCAGGACGGGAAGAACGAAGCGCCTAGGTGACGAGGAGTGATGGATCTCACGCTCGTCCCTGGCGCGGCGTCGACTGAATGACTTCATGCAAGTGTTCGCTTGCAAAAATCATCACCGGTGCGTCACCGGTTTTTCAATGAGACTTCCCGACAGGCCGTCCATTCCACCGAAAATTCCAGCTGCAACCGAACTGGAGAACCCGTCGGATTTACTCATTTAAGAGAATTCTCTGAATCGTTTTTCACGCTTATAACTGCGGAGGAGCAGCAGAGCAAAAAATGTTTGTGTGAAGCCAGCGCTGCGGAGCGACAGATTGGGGAGGTCTCGGGAGTTGTGGAAGCCTCAGAGGAACTGAAGGGGTGGAAAAGACCGGAGAGACCGGACTCAAGCCAGGAATGCCACCGAACAAGGGGCTGGGAAGCTCAACACGGGGCTAGAAGACTTGGATGATGGTAATCTCCTGACTTCTGACCCCAGTCGCTCCTCGGGCTCTCTTTGTTTCCCTTTCTGAAGGCAACAAGGAGATAACATTCTGCGTCTGTGGCGACGACGGCAACATTCTCTAGGGCTCTGCTCCCGCGGTCCCAAGCGATCGTCCTCGGTGATTTACGGCCTGCATGCTTTGCTCGGCGTCAAGTAAGCCAGCGCGCAAAACCGGGCCTCCATTGCAAGAGCTAAATTCGTCGCTCTTCGTCGGGAGCCTCACGCGCGATCCGGGTCCGACGGATACATCGAGACGGCGAGCGGCCGCAATGTCCTCGTGACAGCGTGGCATTTGGGCCTGCCAGCCTGCCAAGCCTTGTCGGGCACATTTCGCGCTCTGTAAACGAACGCGCTCGCTCCGTCCCCCAACAACAGTTGACTCGATCCAAGTACGTCAGGCTCTCTTTCATCTGCGTTGGCTTTCGACATTGGCAGCGTCGCCGCTCGGGCGAACCACTCCGACACATGCTTGCAACTTTGCATATTTTTTTCCCCGGCACTACTCTGTTCCTCGAGCTCTTCGAGAGCTCGTCACCGGAAACCTCTGAATTGTTGATGTGGGAATCGGGAAATTCCAAATTTCTTCGTCTAATCGGCACATGTACATCGCCGGGGAAAGCCTCCGCTTATTTTATCCATTGTGGGGGAAGTCTCTGATGAGAATGGATTTCTCTGTTTTTAGTATTTCCCGGCCGAGGCAGGGAGGGTGCAGGACGGAGGGCTCTCGCTAGAGCTCCGAGAGAGCGATGTGCGCCAGCGGGGTGAGCACCGATCGTACCGGGATGACTAATGACAAGCGTTTCGTTTTTCCTCCATTTCAGGAAATAGTTTTTGGTTCACAATTGTAACTCTGATGCACCAGGGCTGCGACCTCAACCCCAAAGCAACGTCAACGCGGATGGTGGGGACGATTTGGTGGTTCTTCACTCTGATTTTAATTTCATCGTACACAGCCAATCTGGCTGCATTTCTCACTGTGGAACGAATGATTACACCAATCGAGTCAGTAGAGGATCTCGCCGAACAAAGCAAAATCGCCTACGGTACCCTCGACTCCGGCTCAACAATGACCTTCTTCCGGGACTCCAAGCTTGAGCTATACCGGAAAATGTGGAGGTAAGTGCTCGAGGACGGCGAAGTCTACATGAATTCCGATGAATTTTTAAACATGCCATGACTCTCTCAGTCTACTGACGGACGATCGTTATCCTAGTCAGTTGTCGTTTTCGATCATCTCCGAAGGCGTCGAATTTTCTTTGCAAAGCGCTTAGCTTCTTTCGGATTCGGGTCGCACCGAAATTTCTCGCAGTTGACAGCCAATGCGGAGAGGCCCAGCCTTCATTTCTCAAAGGCTTGCGAGGAAATTCAATTTCGTAGTCATTGGAGACAAAAGCCTCTCCGAGTGGTACATACGAAGCCCAGCGTCGAGATCGACGAACGCCGATCACGTATCTGGTTGAGTTGTGGCCTGTACCCTCCCTCTCCCGGTCCTTCAATACCTCCCCCAGTCCGCGGAATCGGCGCTGGCCACGACAGGAGCAGCGGGAATAGTGGGAGCTTGTAGACGAGAGCTGACATGGCAGTCGATCTCTTCCAGATATATGAAGAACAGACCCAGCGTATTTGTTAGCACGTATGAAGAGGGCGTAGAGCGAGTACTACAAGGCAACTATGCATTTCTCATGGAGTCGACGATGTTGGACTACAAAGTCCAGCGCGATTGCAACCTCACAGCCATCGGCACATTGTTGGATAATAAAGGCTACGGTATTGGAACCCCCATCGGGTCGCCATGGAGGGATAAACTGTCACTGGCAATCCTCGATCTGCAGGAGAAAGGTGAGCTCGGACTCGACTCCGGAAAGACTGAATTCCCGCCTCACTAACGCATGTCGATTCTTTGAGAAGTGAAATTTCGATCTATTGTGGATATTTTTCTCTCTCATTTCGTAAACTCTCTCGGAACAATCTCTCGCGATTCAATATTCCTCACTTGGAAATCCATCGTCTGGACGAGCCCCACGATGGATGCCCCATCCGGCGGTCGCTCCTGAGTTCGAACTCCGATGTCGTCGGGAGTCGGATTGACTCACATTAAACCGGGAAATGCAGACAGGTTTCTTTTTAGTCGCTCGGCAAGTTGGGTACAAGGGTGCTGTCTTCCGCTCTACTGAATGTCAGTCATTTCTTTTCCATGTCACTCGGCTCTGCTCGAGATATTCTCGGAATTCGCTCCACTGGGAACCTCTTTCGACCTCATCCGCCGAGTAGTTCCACTCTTCAGGACCTGCTCGTCTATGTTTCGTTCTGCCCGAGAGTCTCGCAATTCAATATCTGCATATCTCCTCCTGATACAGAGAGAGCGACTCCATGAGTCGGCCCTCGGCCCACAGATTGACCGATGTTCAGACGCGGCAATCGCCCGGAAAGAAGGCGTCAGTTGGAATCAGTGCGGTATATCTGCCCCCGCCCAACAGGGCTCCGGAAACCCGGGGTCTGCCCGCGCATTGTTTGCTGGCGACCCGCATCAATGTCGCAGGGCGCTTGCTTATTTGCTCGAGTGCCTGCGAAATTTCACACTACACCGATTCGTTCGACTTCACTAAGAACCGTAATGTTGTTTTTTACGGTGGTACGAGATTGCCGAGCTTCCCAGGAGATGGAGGAGGCAATTGAAAGCGGGATGCGAGCGGGACTGCAATCAGGTTCGATGGCTGGCTGGTGAAATTACGCTCCGAATGGTTATCTCGTCCCGCTCGTCGCATCGAGTTGTATCCCGAAACACCTTAACCGGAAAGCGTCCGTCGGATCATACCCAGAATGGATCTGGTTCAGTCGAGAATCAGCGTCTACCTGAAGAATTGACGGAGCGCGGATTCAAAACTCGTAGCACCTTGTCGACTGAGCGCTTATCGACGCTTCTAGGATCGTTTCCGAACATTGCTAGTTCCTCGTGTCAAGTAACTTTGGGAGAAGTTGCTTTCGTTCATCGGTGTTTCAGGCAGGAAAAAGTCTGTGCGTCGAACGAGCACGAAAACGAGCGCATGAGTGACGAGGCACACCACGAAGCGAGCACACGATAATTCGTTTATTTGCCTCATCACACCGAATGGCCTCATCGCTCGCTTGATGCTTTTTCCGTGCGAACTCTTTACTCGCATGAATACATTGCGTGCAGGTAGCTTGGAAACATTGGTCTGAGCCAGCGCTCGGTGAAAAATCCATTCTACCCGTTACATGGGACTTGCGGAGCCTCTTTATTCAATAATAATTCGATTCGGAGGGCTCGTCACTTGCTTTCAGTAGAAAAAATCACATTGGCGTTATCACTCGAAGTCGATATCTCTTGCAACGACTCAGTTCTTTCCGGAATCGCCCCTCGATTCCCGATGGGTCTGAGAGAAACCATTTATATCCTCTCTGTCTCTATCTCTCGCTTTCGAACAGTCGCACGTGACTTGTATTCGGTTCATCAGGAGTAGGAGGGAATCTGTTGCTGCCCAGGAGAAGTCGCATCACGGTCCGGGAATGGAGTGTCTTCGGGCAAATGTTCCAAAAGTATCGAGATGACGTCGTCACCCATCAATTCCTGGCCGGCGAAACTGCTGTTGCTACCCGAGCTGCTGGTCGACCCCCGGTATGAAGCGGTGGAGTTATGGCTCGGTGTGGAGCTCGCTACGATTTCCGCATCGAGCGATGCGCAGCTCGAATCGTGCTCCGACATCGAAAGCCCAAGTAACGTTTTGGTATAGCCGCAATCCTTGAGCAGCTTGTATGCTCGGTATAAAGCGTAGTGATCGCTCTCGGCTTTGCGAACGATGCGTCGCACAAGGTTCATATCCTGAATAGTCTGTGAATGAGTCGAGAGGCTTAATTCAGTTCATTGAACTGCTTGCGACCGTGTGCTCGATTCGATTGGGCCCGGTCGGAAGTTCGCTTTTGCTCTTTCCGGCAGCATCAGCGGCGACGGAGCGTCCGCTGCAGCTGCATCTGTCCCTAATTAGATGTAATCGCTGCGTTCTCGAGCACTGGCCCACTTACCCGAATCTTGTAGCCCTCGATTATTCTGCGCAGGATGACAGGATCGTCTGGGTTCTCCTGCAGAAGTCGTCGACACCATTGGAGGGAGTCTGAAGAACATTCCTCGGATGATAGCTGGATTTGACTGGAGTCGTCGATCTGTCAAAGCAGGGATTGCCTCAGTCTAGAACGGAGACGGCGCCGGTCGGGACCGGTGATTTGGAGCCAGACTGATCACGGAATAGTGACAGTATCGCTTTCGATACGAGGAGAAGAGGAAACTTCAGTTTTTCTCCTCAACCGCTGGACAACCTTTCGCTCAGAGGCCTCAGCCGCCCGACCAGCCCAAAAAAAGGCCAATGGATCCATTTGCGAAGTTTGCCCGAATAAGAGAGAGAGCGTAGCTTTTTTGGTCTCCCCGGTGATTCCACGCCGCCATGAGGCTTCTCTTCATCCCGATGAGCCGCGAGTCGGTCGACGGAAATTCCCGGAGCTATGATCGGGATTTAGGCTTCCGAATGGAAGTTGTTGCTCCTGTTCACCATAAGGACCGCTATAGAGGGAACAGACGGGGATTTGAAGTTTGTCGCGACAAACGCTCCGGATAATAATTTTTATTGCCTCCGACGACCGGCAAAGGACTAAGATACCCGGACGCAAAGAATGCGTCGAGTTCCCGATTGTGCGTCGACAAGTTGGGGCATCCCTTCTTTCGGTCCCGTCGGGCCGCCTCGACCCCGAGGACGAAGGCAAGGCTCATCAGGACACGTTTCTTCTAATATTTTATTTTCACTCTCAAGCCCTCTCTGCAGATTATGAGCAGCCGCCTGGTCACGGGGATCGCCCCGAGCGACATGCCGCGACCCGGAACGACCGTAAATCGATATTGAGACGTCCGCTGAGGGTTGAGGAGCTTTGTGTTCTCTACTTCTCGGAATTAATTGCTGTCATCCAGGAGCAGAGAGCGAACCTTCTGTGGAGAGAGCCTATTAAAGGGATGTCTCTCAATCCCTACATTCTTCCCTCTCAGCGTCACCGCTTAGCTCAAGTCTCGAATCTCGAGGAGCCGTCAAGACTTTCCCCTGCCAATCCTGCCAGACACGACGAGTCCAATCTTTTGTCTCAGGCAATCCGTGGCCGTTACAGACTCAGCAAGTTCGCCGTTATTCGCCAGTATTTCATGAGAGCGGATGAGCTCTAAAATCTCGAGGCTCATCGGTTCTGCTCAGTATCCCCGATGAGACGGAGCTGATGACTTTTCTTTGAAGTCGAAAGAAACTCGGAAGAGTGGAATGAGCGATACGTGTTCTAACTATAAAACTGGGCCTGGGACCCAGATTCGGGTACTCACCTGTTTTGCCACGATTACTTTCGGGAGGCAGGCGTGGGACTTGACTACGCGACGAAGTTCATGGAGACCGCAGCACGACATGAAAAGCTTCAAGTCGGCGCGGAGCCCGGGATCGACGATCTGGTCGCAGTCAAGAGTTCCCCCACTCAAAGCTAAATGAAGCAAAACCGCTGTGCGCTCACCCAGAACTGAAAAAAAAGAGGATCGTCTAAGGCTCACTATGGGAAAGCGAAGGAGAAGAAGCCGAAGGATCCACAGATGTGGAGGGTTTGTAGATTCGATGATGAATTTTAGATCATGAATTTTTACAAGCGCGGACTTGTGGAGCAGGAATTTCCCACCTCTGAGGATTCGACCGATGAATAGCGTACTCTGTCGGTGCCATTGCTTGAGCGACTGCTGCGTTTCTTCAGGGAGATATTTCTCACAGTTCTGGAGATCATGCGATCGCATAAATGTGTCGACTTCGTTCAGGAACAGATCGAGACACCCGTCGTCCGGGGCGAGAAAAGCAAGACAGTAGCCTTGACCAGGACTGCCCTGCAGCTTCGGGAATAGATGGTATACACACATCACACTCCCGCGAGTCCTGGAATGGGAAGAAGATCAGAATAATGAGTCGGACGAGACCGGACTGATGAGACCATGTTTACCCAGACGAGTTCGAGTTCAGCCATGATTATCGTGTTTCGAGACGGAGCACGTCGATAGAGCTCGCTCCGTTCGCAGCGATTGTCCCGTGATTAAACATTCAGGACGGCTCGAGCGCTCGGTTTCTCCCTACCGTCACGGAAGCGGGGACTGTTTCACTGTGTGAGCCGCGCCTATGGAGATATCGACCGACTCGATATGAATAGTTTTCGAGATTGTCGGAAGAAGTATGAGTCCCAAGAGAGAACTCTATCAAACGTTCCGCCACAGACCATTAAGTTGTATGTATTCTTCCCATGGCTATCTTTCGCCAAGGAGAAAAACGAGCTCAGCGTAGTCGGCAGCAGGTGGATAGGCCCTCTCAAACATTTTTCTGCCCGCTCACACTTATGTACCTACTCTCTCCGCGGAGTTCTCTCTGCCGGTCATATTCCCATGAACCTGGCATTCCGCTTCCCTCTCGATTCGTCGGTATCTCCCGAAGATGAGCGTGCACGGTGTGACCGAAATAGAACTATCTCCTATGGTGTCGAACAAAGTTCGACGAATTGTCAAGGGCGCTCCTTCAACCGGGCACCGCGAACTATTCACCCGCTCACCGTCGGCATTGGTTGAAGATCTTATACGCGGTCACATAGCACCACATTCGCGGATGATGCGGAAGAACTGCATATAATAGGCGGTAGGAAAACCGTGAGCTTCTTCTCGTTGCCATCAACAATTCTGACACGTATATGGCGCGTGATGCTGCTTCGCGGTCTGTGATGCCAGCCACGGCGACAATAGTTAGAGGAAAATTTCAGTGGACAGACGTCCG